CCTAGACACATTCCAGGGAGCTGGATAGGAAGTGGAACAGCCAGGACTCAAACCGGTACTCCTATGGGATACCGGTGTTACAAGTGGCAGCCTAACCTGCTACACCACAGTGCCAGCCCCAATAAATGTAAGTCTTTTAATAAACACAGAAAATGAAGAATTGATTATAAGTCAGGAAATTCATGTGACAGCTTTCAGACTGAGCAGATCAAGGAAGGAATTACATGAACCACAGCTGGAGGGCCACTCTTCCATCTTAAACAACTTCCTAGGCCTGGCTCAAAACACTTTAATCCCAGCCGGCACTGCGGCTCACTAGGCTAATCTTCCGCCTGCGGCGCCAGCACACCGGGTTCTAGTCCCGGTCGGGTTCTAGTCCCAGTCAGGGCGCCCGGATTCTGTCCCTGTTGCTCCTCTTCCAGTCCAGCTCTGCTGTGACCCAGGAGTGCAGAGGAGGATGGCCCAAGTGCTTGGGCACCTGCACCCCATGGGAGACCAGGAGGAAGCACCTGGCTCCTAGCTTCGGATTGGTGCAGTGCGCCAGCCATGACGCGCCAGCCATAGTGGCCATTGGGGGGGTGAACCAACGGAAAAGGAAGACCTTTCTCTCTGTCCCTCTCTCTCTCACTATCTAACTCTGCCTGTCAAAAATAAATAAAAACATCTTAATCCCCTGTCACTGTCATCCTTTACATCTAAAAACAGAATATGTCCCCTTGCATGCATGTGATCATTTGCCCTGGAAAATACACAATTACAGTATATATAAAGAATTTTTCTAAGGCAGTGATGAGGATCTGAAGAAACACAGGGTAGTGGAATGCCTGGACTGTTAAAATGTTTCCTCTTTTATGTATTAAGATAGAGGAACTCAGAATATAACATTTCCAATAAACTAATTTTATATTGGCTTAGAGACTGAAAATAAATTGGGAAATCTAATAATTGATTTTTATTCGGAAATTAAGAGTGCTTATGTGGCAAAACCCATCAAAGTTCACAAAGCAACAGCCATGGAAAGCTACAAACTACAATATAAAAAAAAAAAATCTGCCACTATTTATAGGCAGATAAGTTTCAAAGACACATACCAGGTTCTTTTAATGCATTATGTCATCTGGCCCTTGCAATCTCACAGCAAGATATGGAGCAGTATTATTATCACCCCCACAGATATACACACTGAGGAATCGAAGACCTCCTTGAGGTGTTTGTCAAATCCATGTTCTTAACCTGTCACCCTGGGCACTGCCTCCCCATCAGGATGAGTGATCCTTGCCAATCTTTGTTGATGCAGCAGTATGCAGTGTGTTATTTTTCAAGTCCAAGAGCCTCGCTGAAAAAAATGCTTTTGAAAATAAATTCTTTATTATTTTTTTGACTGTGAAAATAGCTTTATTCACTCCATGAAAGAATGTAATGATCAAATGACAATATCACCATAAACTTTAATCTAGTGACAAATTCAAAGGAAAAAAAACAATAAAACTCAATGAACAATGATGCATATTTGTCTATACATGAGTGACTCTTGCCTACTTCAGAGCATAAGCTATTTTCAGAATGCAGAGACCATTGTTTATATTACTAACAATAAAGAGGCCAATGCCAAATCTTAGTGATTCGTTTGATAAGGGATGTTTATTACGTAGAGCCTTCTATGATTTTATTTTGTTAATTGGATGAAAGTTATTTTACAATTTAAATATTCCTCATAATTCTGAATTTTGCAAATTGAAGTTGCTTATTACCTTAGTCAAATTTGATCAACTGGTGTGCTAGTTTTTTTTTTAATTTTTATTTAATAAATATAAATTTCCAAAGTACAATTTTTGGACTATGGCAGCTTTTTCCCCCCATAACTTCCCTCCCACCTGCAACCCACCCATCTCCCACTCCCTCCCCCATCCTATTCACATCAAGATTCATTTTCAATTATCTTTATATACAAAAGATCAATTTAGTATATATTAAGTAAAGATTTCAACAGTTTGTTCCCACACAGAAACACAAAGTGTAAAGTACTGTTTGAGTACTAGTTATACCATTAATTCACATACTACAACACATTCAGGACAGAGATCCTACATGGGGAGTAAGTGCGCAGTGACTCTTGTTGTTGACTTAACAACTGACAATCTTTTTTATGACATCAGTAATCACCCGAGGCTCTTGTCATGAGCTGCCAAGGCTATGGAAGCCTCTTGAGTTTGCCAACTCTGATCTTATTTAGACAAGGCCATAGTCAAAGTGGAAATTCTCTCCTCCCTTCAGAGAAAGTTACCCCCTTTTTTGATGGCTCGTTCTTTCCACTAGGATCTCACTCACAGAGATCTTTTATTTAGTTTGTGTTTTTTGTTTTTTTTGTTTTTTTTTTGTTTTTTTTTTTTTTTTTTTTTGCCAGAGTGACTTGGCTTTCAATGCCCAAAGTACTCTCATGGGCTTTTTAGCCAGATCTGAATGCCTTAAGGGCTGATTCTTAGGCCAGAGTGCAGTTTAGGACATCTGCCATTCTATGAGTCTGCTGTGTACCCCACTTTCCATGTTGGATAGTTCTCTCCCTTTTTTATTCTATCAGTTAATATTAGCAGACACTAGTCTTATTTATGTGATCCCTTTGACTCTTATACCTATCAGTATGATCAATTGTGAACTGAAATTGATTACTTGGACTAGTGAGATGGCATTGGTACATGCCACCTTGATGGGATTGAATTGGAATCCCCTGGCACGTTTCTAACTCTACCATTTGGGGCAAGTCCAATTGAGCATGTCTCGAACTGTACATCTCCTCCCACTCTTATTCCCACTCTTATATTTAACAGGGATCACTTTTCAGTTAAATTTAAACACCTAAGAATAATTGTGTGTTAATTAAAGCGTTCAACCAATAGTATTAAGTAGAACAACAACAACAACAACAACAAAACACTAAAAAGAATAAAGTAGTAGGTTGTTCCTTGACAGTCAGGGCAAGGGTTGATCAAGTCATTGTTTTTCATAGTGTCCAGAAAATAAATTCTTGAGGTTGATGCTGTGGCATAGTGGGTAAGGCCACTGCCTGCAATGCCGGCATCCCATATGGGTGCCAGTTCAAGTCCCAGCTGCTACACTTCCAATCCAGCTCTCTACTGTGGCCTGGGAAAGTGGTAGAAGATGGCCCAAGTGCTTGGGCTCCTGCACCCATGTGGGAAGAAGCTCCTGGCTTCTGGCTTTGGATCAGCACAGCTTCGACCATTGCAGCCATCTGAGGAGTGAATCAGAGAATGGAAGACCTCTCTCTCTCTTTCTCTCCCTCTCTCTCTCCCTCTCCTTCTCCTATTCTGTCTCCTTCTCTGTAACTCTGCCTTTCAAATAAATAAAATAAACTTTAAAAAAAGAAAATAAATTATTTCCATACAAAACACATTTTTGTGTTCTCCTGGTGTTAAATGTAACAAAATTATTGAGTTTATTTTCTTTTACAAATTTGTGTTCCATTATATTGTAAACTATAAACTAAAAATCTTTTAGCCTTTAGGAAGTTCTCCAACAGGAAAAAAAAAACTTCTGAGGTATTTTTTCATATTGTTTATTGCTTTTTTAATTCAAAATGTTATAATGTTTAAGCTATCATATTTTAAAATATGGTTACAGATCCACAGTTGCATGCAGTTTATTTGAATTACTAGCACAGTCAATAGAATTTAAAAAATTAATGAAATGATTTGGGTATATCATAAACCTATTCAAAGTTGTAACAAGCGTGGAAGTCATCAAGGATTCCTGCAAGACATATGACATCATAGTTCATGTTATACACTGTCAGACTAGCAATTTAATTTATAAAGCAGTAGAAGCCAATCAAAAATTCTAAAAAGTATTAAGAGGTTTGAATCAGATTGATTTTGATATTGTAAGCTACACGGAGCTTGGGTGAGTTCAAAAACCTTATAAGCAACAATTACATTGAATTACCTCATGACAAGGGGTATGCAAAATCTCACCATGGGGAAGGGCACTGTGGAGCAGCAGATTAAGCCATCTCTTGGGGTATCAGAGTGTCTTGGCTTGAGTCTCTCCATTACTCACCCCAGTTTCCTTCTAATGCACACCCAGGGAGACAGCAGATGAGGGCTCAAGTACTTGAGTTCTTGCCACCCGTGTGAGAGACCCAGATTGAATTCAGGCTCCTGGCTTTGCCCTAGTCCAGCCTCAGCTGACGCTGACATCTGGGGAGTAAACAATGGATGTACTCTCTCTCTCTTAGTACTTTCTCTCTCTCAGTACTTCTCTCTCTCTCTCTCTCTCTCTCTCTGTAGCTCTGCCTTTCAAATAAAAATAAATCAATAAACATTTTTTAAAAATCTATCAATATCACTTATAGGTAAGACATCAGAATTTTGTAAAAAAGTGCTTTTTTTTAAGTATTAGGATCATATAATGAAAAGCACAGTAAACGGCAAACAGTAGCTGTACTGTGCTGTTGGAAGAGGCTTATGGAAATACAAAACCCAAACACAAAAAAATTACTTGGCATTCAGTAATATTTGAATGGCTTTTTGGAGGGTAGTGTTTCTCATGCAGTAGCCTATATAAATATATATATATATATATATATATATATATCACTTAAAAATTTAGCTTCAGTCATATTACACAAATGTGTCTCATGTTTCTGCATTTTCTATTATGCTAGGTCTGCCATGACTGCATGGCATTCACTGATCACCGCCGTATTCCGGTTTCATCCACCATCCTCCACTCGGGATTCTTTTTTCTGTATTCTTATTACTGTTAGGCATCCTCCTGTCATTAGGATTAGGACCCAACAGACTGCACCAGGACTTATTTGTGGTTATTTCATGCTGTTACCCTTGCTTGTAATGTCTTCTTCCTCCTACACAAATTCCACTTAATGACTCAAGGTCCAGTAAATATTTAGTAATTACTTGACCTTGACGAAGCTTTGTGTAAGTAGATTGTTAAAAGTCTGTACTTGTGATCAATCCTGTTTTCAGTGGGGTCCCTGGGAAGTGCCTTTCAAATTGAATTCCGGATCCGAAGCTCTGAAGAAGTCCTCAGGGACCAAGGTGAGAAGCAGGATTTGAAATGGAGAGAAAGTAACATAGCACAATTTGAATATGATATTTTCCTCTTAGCATGACCTTGAAGGCCAAATTTCACTGAAAAAGTGTTCCAAAGACACAGCATTTGAAAAATCACCATTTTAACAATAAATTCTTTTTTGTAAGTAATGTGAATAAATAATATATATGTGATTCAAAGTATACACCTATATTTCACTTACAAAATTAAAACAAAACAATTAAAATATTATGCAAAAAATGGCAAACACAATGAAGCATTTTTTAAATGTGGGACTACATTTAATTCAGTTCCTAAGTACATATTGAGTTTCAAGCTAATGCATTTTGTAACAAAATAACACTTTCATATGTCTACAGTCACTTTTCTATTGTTAGTATATTTATTTTCTTCCCTGTATTATTCTTACTGTGACTATTATGCACAAATCTTTGAAAATAGACTCTCTAAATATTTTAATATTGCAACCCTAGTCAGTTTGTAAATAAATAAAGGCAGCTATAACTATTTTATACCTTTTTTACTACTAATTGTATTTTTGACTAGTATTAGGAAATGCATTGCATTTTGCAAAAAAAAAAAAAAAACAATTATTAACAAAAGTTGTTTTCTTTTTTTTAGGGGGAGCTGTATCAGAAGTGGAGCAGCCAGGACACCAAGTGGAGCCCAAGCGGGATGCCATCTCAGTTGGCAGCTTTTACCCGCTATGCCACAATGCCAGCTCCCCAAAATTTCATATTTTTAAATAGCTTTATGGAAAATTCTGCTGATAACATTAGCCTTTAATTTTATGAAAATAATGGAAAGTGATATGATTATGTATGATTCTACTATGATGGTTGCTTTTTTTTTCCCTAACAGATACAAGATTTGTTCATTTCTGAAGAGATGAAAACGGAACATGCTCCATGGAGGTACCCAAGAAGAAGTGTCTCAATTACATTGTCAACATTTTCTACCTTCAATAAATTTTTAGTTCCATCCTTTGGTGGCAACAGGGGAAACAATTCATTCTGCAGAGGCAGTGACTCTTATTTTATGTTCCTGACCCATTTTTGTGCCAAGCCAATCTTCAGTTCCACTAAATACAAATTTAAGCATCAAGTTCAGAAACAATTTTGACATAGAAGTAATTCCATTATAAAAGTAAAAATTTAAATATTAGAAGACATCAAGAAGAAATTTTTCAGGAAAAGGAAAAGGAGCACGGGTTACATGGACAAGGCAAACAGGTGATAGGGGAGCTGGTTGCTCAGAATCACAATGGAAGCTCCTGGGAAAAGCCAGATAGCACAGGTAGTAGCATCTGCTTGTTAGACGACAAGGGGAACAGATTTAATTTGTTGTTGTTATTGTTGTTGTTGTTTAAGGTTTTATTTATTTATTTGGGAGGTAGAGTTACAGCGAGAGGGAGAGACAGAAAGAAAGGTGTTCCTTCCACTGGTTCACTCTCCAAATGGCCGCAATGGCCAGAGCTATTCTGGTCTGAAGCCAGGAGCAAGGCACTTCTTCCTGGTCTCCCATGTAGGTGCAGGGGCCCAAAGTCTTGGGACATCTTCCTCTGCTTTCCCAGGCCATAGTAGAGAGCTGGTTTGGAAGTGGAGCAGCCAGGACTAGAACCAGCGCCCATATGGGATGCTGGTACCACAGGTGGAGGATTAACCTGTGCCACCCCGCCAGCCCCCATATTTAATTATGAAAGTGAAGTCAATCCTATGTTCCCAGTAAAAGAAAAAAATCTTATTTTTCCAAAGATCTAGCTGCTAAATTAAATAACTCATTCTTGAGAACTGTGATAGGAACCCTCACTTGATGGTCATAGTAAGAAAGAACTAACGTTCTTTTTTTTTGTTTAAAAACACACATTCAAGAAGATTAGTGTGTCTGGGAAGATAACTGAAAGCTGTGTGTGAGACTCAGATAGTGAGACTAGCTTCCTAGTCTACTCCATCAACCAGCTCACAGGGCATGGGATTCATACTGGGGCCTCAGCAAAATACACAGTTAACAGTGTGTCTTTTATTATGACTTATGCATATTCACACAGTAAATATTAAGTCTACAAGATGTATGAGGTCTGGATAGAGTGCAGATATCAGATACCCACAATGGAAATGATGTTCAACGTAACTATAAGGAGATTTTGCAAAGTATTTAAGTCCCTGTAGTGATTGGAAGAAAGGAGTGATCAAACACTATAAAGAAGATTCAATAACAACTATGATTAAAAAATTGTCATCAAAAACAGAAATTCTGGGGTTAGAGTTGTGGAACAGTGGGTTAAATTGCCACTTGCAATGCCAGAATCAAGTCCCAGCTTCTAGGACCAATCTAACTTCTTAATGCACTGAGAAGGCAGCAGATGATGACCCAAGGACTTGACCCACTCCCCCATTGTGGGAGATCTGGAAGAAGTTCCTGGCTCCTACTTCAGCCTGGCCTAGCCTTAGCTTTTGCAGCAATTTGAGTAGTGAAGCAGTGGATAAAGGATGCCCCGCAGCCCATTTCTCCCTGTCTCTGTGGTTCTGGCTTTCAAATAAATAATTTTTTTAAATAGAAAAAATTCTTAAAAACAGCTTATTTTACCTTATCAGGAGAATATGAGGAGTCTTCAGAAAGTTAATAAAAATGTGCATTATGAAAAACTATACACGGATTTAAAAAATATACTATACCAAAATACATTTCTCTCTTAATTCCATTTTCCACAAACTCGTTGGACAATCATCATACTTGTTAACGTATTTTATAACAACCCCAAATTATTTATATTTATTGTCATTGCATAATTGGTGTGCTGTATGCAATCAGAGATAAACATTAAGAGAATGATTGCAGAGTTTGAATTCTGGAAGTGTTCTATTTATAGGCAGGGACCGATTATATTAACCTTTGTGTTACAGAAGTTAAGGGAAAAGTTCAGAGTTTTCTTTCTCTTCCTGAGAAACCACTGGAGCAATGTGTCCTTCACCATGATTAATTCCTAAGCTCTCACTAAAGGAATAAGTTTCCAATAAATACACATTTTAATTTTTTTAAAAATGTGTGAATATTATCTTTGAAAGTCTTTGTGAAAAATAGCTTCCTTAATATTTTTAAATGTAACATTTGCTATTCTTAGTTTTGGGAAAAGTTGGCCATGAAGCAATGGAGAAAAATGGTTTTTACTATCAATTCATTTTTCTGCCCACAATGGCTCTCTCCAGTGTAACTCTCTTTATGGTAGAGTGCAGTCACTGGGGTGGACTTCTCTTTGTCCAGAAAGCTCATCAAAAAATAATGAAATTCTTTTAGTGAGGGTAAATTAATTTTTTTGTTACTAGAGTTGTCAGGCTTTTGAGAGATGAAATGTCACATATTTTAAGGAAAAGCAATTAGTGGCCTTCCACGGAATTTTGAATTGTAAGGGGACTCTGAGACCATGATGGAAACATCTCATAAATGAAAATTTTTGATTTATCTTACAAAGAATTTACTTCATTGACACTTGAGAAAAGCCACTTCTTTGACAAGGAAACTATTCTCTTGAACCAAGTTAGCCTTATTTAGGTCCATTCCCAAGCAGATCTGTAATAGAAAGAGGAAAAAGGTAGTAATTCCAGAAAGTCAGCTAATTTGGTGTCATCACTGTGCAATTCTCTGAACTCTTCTGATTGATTACACATTTATGCTTCTCTGCAGCCTATGGCAAACCCATGCACTAAGTATGCCCATTTAGCATTGTACAAGATAATATGTAGGGAGCCGGCGCTGTGGTGTAGTGGGTAAAGCCACTGCCTGTAGTGCCGGCATCCCACACGGGTGCTAGTTCAATTCCTGGCAGCTCCACTTCCAATCCAGCTCTCTTCTATGGCCTGCAAAAGCAGTAGAAGATGGCCCAAGTGTTCGGGCCCCTGCACCCACGAGGGAGACATGGAAGTATCTCCAGGCTCCTGGCTTCGGATCGGCTCAGCTCTGGATGTTGCAGCCATTTGGGGGGTGAACCAATGGATGGAAGACTTTCTCTCTCTCTCTCTCTCTCTCTGCCTCTCTGTAACTCTGCCTTTCAAATAAATAAAGAAATCTTTAAACTAACAAAAAACAGATAATATGCAGTATTTAATGTTACCCAGCCTATGAGAAATAGAAAAGAATGAGCCAAAATAGGAGGAAATTTTTAATTGAATTTTTAGATTATTTATTTATTTATTGAAAGGCAGAGTGATGGGCGTGGGGGACAGAAGGAGAGAGAGAGAGAGAGAGAGAGAGAGAGAGCAATATTCCATCCAACAGTTCACTCCTCAATTGGCTACAACAGCCAATTCTGGGTGAAGCTGAAGCAGGAGCAGGAACTCCATCCACGTCTCTCATGGATGGCAGGAGCCCAAGCACTTGGATCATCTTCCTCTGCACTCCCAGGTGCATAAGTAGGAAACTGAATCAGAAGTGGAGCCGTTGGAACTCCAACCAGTCCTCCTATTTGGGATTTCAGTGCTGCAAGAATCAGCTTAATCCATTGTGCTACACGACAGCCCAGGATTGGAATTATTAATATTATTCCCCATGAGTGATAAGCATTTTATCATTTTGAGGTTAGAATTTAACCTTGTTCTGGGCATCTCAGATATAAATAATAAGCAGTACCTGAAAAAAAAAAAAAGGTTTTGGCTGAATAGAGACAAGTTATCCTAGGCGGGGAGGGAATATTGCTGAACACTGATGTCTTAGAGTTGCTTTAGAAGAAATTGCGATAGAAATTGGTTATTAGTCAGGATTTCAAAGTCTGATTCAATACATTTGTCAGCATATCAGAATGTTGGGAAGGCAATATAACCCCAGAAGCAAAAGAAAGCTAAACTGAAATGAAATTCAAGTCCTAGCTCCCTTGGAACCAAACAATCAGTAATTAAAGTGAATATATTTTAAATTAATTTATTTTACACTAAAAGAGAATAAGCTTCATAAATTGAACAATCTCCAACGTCTATGGATTTAGATATGGAAGAGAATTTTCAATATTCATTAGCATCAATTTTAAACTTTATTTAGGGGGTGGTGTTGTGGTGCAACCAACTAGTCATTGCTTGTGATGCTGGCTTCCCAAAACCCAGAGTTGGCACTCGAGTCCCAGCTGCTCCACTTCCAATATAGTTTGCTGCTGATTTTACCTGGGAAAGCAGTGGATATTGGTGCAAGTACTTTGGCCCCTGTCACCCATGTGGGGTATCAAGATGGAGTTATAGGGGCTGGCGCTGAGGCTCATTTGGCTGATCCTCCACCTGCGGTGCTGGCATCCCATATGGGCACCGGGTTCTGGTCCAAGCTGCTCCTCTTGCAGTCCAGCTCTCTGCTGTGGCCTGGGAAGGGAGTGGAGGATGGCCCAAGTCCTTGGGCACCTGCACCTGCGTGGGAGACCAGGAGGAAGCACCTGGCTCCTGGCTTAGGATCAGCACAGCGCCGATCATAGTAGCCATTTTGGGGGTGAACCAACGGAAGGAAGACCTTTCTCTCTGTCTCTCTCTCTCTCACTGTCTAACTCCATCTGTCAAAAAATAAATAAATAAAAATAAAAAAAGACGGAGTTATAGGCTCTTGATTATAGCCAAGGCAAACCTCCGCTGTTAGAGGTCATTTGGGAAGTGAACCAATGGTTAGAAGATGTCTCTCTGTGTGTATGTGTGTGTGTAATCCTTCTTTAAAATACATAATTAAGCAAATCTTTTTTCAAAAAGAAAATTAAAAAATTATTTGGCCTTTTCTGGATTAGAATTTAACAACCGGGACTTGGAAATGTCACCACTGCATATACGCCAGGCTAGCTTCCACTTGAGTTTAAAATGCATTTCATGAGATAATTTAATTTTCATGCAGTACAGTATGTGCAAAGATGAAGTGACTTGGAAAGCTTTTCACTTGTAAGAAAGACCTCACAAAAAAGAAGTCATTATTAACCGGCCTTAAAGAGCTAATGAATCATTCACTGGAAAGCCTCACTTACACAGAAAGTACAACGTCGCTTTGGACATTACCTTTTTCATTTAAAGCAGGAATTAATTGTAAAGCGAATCTCAAACATTGCCAGTAAGTTGTAAAGGAATGTGGTGTGATGCAGTTTACTGATACTTAAGACGGCCACAGAACAATTTTCACACCTCATTGCTAAACATAAATGAGAGGTAAAATGAAATCTGAGACATAGAATAGGAACTCTTTAGGCTCTTTGATCACTCATTATATGGATTCCCCACTTAGAATTTCACATTTGTTTCCCTGCTTTATGCACCAGAACTAAAAATGATTCAGTGGGCTGGCATTGTGGTTTAGCGGGCTAAGCCACCACATAGGCTGTCACAGAATCCCGTATCAGAGAACTTGTTTGTTGCCACTGCTCCATTTCCAAATTAGCTTCTTGTTAACATACCTAGGAAGGCAGCACAAGATGGCCTAAGTACTTGCACTCTTGCCACCCAGATGGGAGACCAGCATGGAGTTTTTGGTTACTGGCTTCAGCCTGGCCCAGCTCTGGGTGTTGCAGTAATTTGGGGAGAGAACCAATGGATGGAAGATTCTTTCTTTCTCTCGGTCTCTCTGTCTCTCTGTCTCTCTCTCTCTACTCTCTCTCTCTCTCTCTCTCTGTGTGTGTGTCTCTGTCACACTGTGTTTCAAATAAATAATTTTTTGACAGATAGAGTTAGACAATGAGAGAGAGAGATAGAGAGAAAGGTCTTCCTTCCATTGGTTCATCCCCCAAATGGCTGCTATGGCTGGCGCTGCGCCAATCCGAAGCCAGGAACCAGGTGCTTCTTCCTGGTTTCCCATGTGGGTGCAGAGCCCAAGCACCTGGGCCATCCTCCAATGCCTTCCCAGGACACAGCAGAGAACTGGACTGGAAGAGGAGCAACCAGGACTAGACCCGGTGTGCATATGGGATGCTGGTGCCGCAGGCAGAGGATTAATCAAGTAAGCACGGCACCGGCCCCTCAAACAAATAAATCTTTATAAAAATGTTCATAGCATATGTAATGTTGCAGGTATTATTTCTACTTTGGTAGATTCTTCCAGCTCAAGTGATTGAAATAAAATCTAATTTTAAATTGTACAATCTTCAACAAATTGTAATCCCCTAGTCTTCCATTTTTCATGAATGTAAATAGGACCAATGAAGAATAGAGTGTTTGATTGATTCAAATATTTGTTTCAATTTTAAATAGTAATAGCTTAATTTTCTTTAAGTCACTATGTTGAATTTTATAAGTGAATTAATAGGGGCCAGTGCTGTGGCACAGCGGGTTAAAGCCCTGGACTGAAGCACGGGCATCCCATATGGGTGCCAGTTGGAGAATCTGCTTCTCCACTTCCCATCCAGCTTTCAGGTATAGCCTGGGAAAGCAGTAGAAGATGGCCCAAGTCCTTGGGCCCCTGCACCCATGTGGGAAACCAGGAAGAAACTCCTGGCTTTGGATCAGCGCAGCTTCAGCCATTGTGGCCATTTGGGGAGTGAACCAGTGGATGGAAGACCTCCCTTTGTAACTCTGTCTTAAATAAATAAAATAAAATCTAAAAAAAAAAAGTGAATTAATGGCATAACATGTTGTCAACAGGGCAAGTATTGTGGTGCCGAGGATTTAGCTGCTCTTGAGATACTGGCATCCCATATCAGAGCTCTAAGTCTTGGTTGATCTGCTTCTGATCCAGCTCCCTGCTAATGTGCCTGGGAAAGCAGCTGAAGATGGCTGAAGTACTTGGGCCTCTGTCACCCATGTGGGTGACCTTATGGAATTCCAGGCTCCTGACTGTGGACTGGTCCAGCCCCGCCCATTGTGGCCATTTGGGGAGAGGACCAATGGAGGAAAAATTCTCTCTCTTGCTTGCTTGTTCTCACTCCAACTCTCTGTAACTCTGTTTTTCAAATAAATAAATCTTTAAAAAATAGATCTTTGAAAACAATATGGGGGCCAAAGCTGTGGTATAGCAGGTAAAGCCACTACCCGCAGTGCCTGCATCCCACATGGGCGCTAATTTGAATCCTGGCTGCTCCACTTACAATCTGGCTCTCTACTATGGCCTAGGAAACCAGTAGAAGATGGCCTAAGTGTGTGGGCCCCTGCACTCACGTAGGAGATCTGAAGAAGTTCCTAGATTCAGATCAGTGCAGCAACAGCCATTATGGTCAACTGGGGAGCAAACTAGCAGATGGAAGACCTCTCTCTCTCTGCCTCTCCTTCTCTCTTTATGTAACTATGACTTTCAAATAAATAAAGCTTTAAAAAATATGTTGTCAGGACATGTTTACTTGCATATATAGATACACAGACAATGTAACTTCTACTTTGTTCTAATAAAGTGAAAATTATCCACATAATTGTGTAAAATTATTTAGAAAATGATGAAGTATAAATTTTTTCAAAAATATTTAAAACACCCTGACATTAATTTGAAGTGCTTTTGGGCTACAAAAACAATACAAAACAAAATCATTGTATGAAGTGTATTATTGTCATGAAGAATGGCACTTTGTCCTCACATGGAACAACTATGGCACCTTGCTTCCCCAGTCAACCTTCATGTTATTTTCAGCAACTTCTTACCTCACTAGGCCTTAGTTTGCTCACAAAAAAATTTAAGTAACACTGGTAAGTACCTTACAGAGTGCTGCTTTTAGGTGAGATAATAACCATATGAGCAAAGCTCTAAGCTGAATGCCTGACACAGGTCATCCATGAGAGCCTGTTCTAGTGCAATCAATACACAGTCATCCTAATCAGACAAAAGAACTTAAATTACAGTAGTTTTACAATGGGAGCACAAATTAAGTATTCTGGAATACATCACCACTAGTTGCAAATCCAAAGAAATGAATGTCTGTTTCTGATACATGAACTTATTGCTGAACCTATTATTTTATAATATTTAGGCAGCTAATTGAAAGTGGGACAATGATGAACATGTTAATAATAATAATAATGTAGTCTAATTGATTAAATACGTGCAGTCAGGGGCAATTAAATTCTACATTGATAACAAAACTATTCCTCTATATGTAAAGCATATTTTCAAATCTTTCTTAATATTTTATCTCATGGTAAGGTACTCATTGTGAAAAACTGAAAGCTAAGCAGCTCTGTTGAGTACAAATTCTGTAACTTCCCATCTGAGTTCAGGGTTTCCTGAATATCTTGTAAGCAATTCCTCACTCCTCATGCACATCCTCCCCTGTCATACCTCATCACCAGGGCAGGCCTGACTTGCCACCAAGGCCACAGTCTCAAGTTAAAAGGAGATTAGGGGAGCCTGCACTGTGGTGTAGCAGGTAAAGCTGCCACCTACAGTGCCGGTATTCGATATGGGCACCGGTTGGTGTCCCGGCTCCTCCATCTCCAATCCCGCTCTCTGCTTTGGCCTCGGAAAGCAGTAGAAGACGCCAAATCCTTGGGATTCTGCAACTGCGTGGGAGAACCAGAAGAAACTTCTGGCTCCTGGCTTCAGATCAGCACAGCTCCAGTCACTGTGGTCAACTGGGGAATGAACCAGCGGATGGAAGACCTCTGTCTGTTTCTCCTCTCTCTGTGTAGCTCTGACTTTCAAATAAACAAATAAATCTTTAAAAAGAAAAAGGATTGGCCAGTGCCACGGCTCAATAGGTTAATCCTCCGCCTGTGGCACCAGCACACTGAGTTCTAGTCCCAGTCAGAGCACCGGAGTCTGTCCCGGTTGCCCCTCTTCCAGGCCAGCTCTCTGCTATGGCCCAGGAGTGCAGTGGAGGATGGCCCAAGTGCTTGGGCCCTGCACCCCATGGGAGACCAGGAGGAAGCACCTGGCTCCTGACTTCGGATCAGAGCAATGCGAAGGCCAGAGCGGCCATTGGAGGGTGAACCAACGGCAAAAAGGAAGACCTTTCTCTTTCTCTCTCTCTCACTGTCCACTCTGCTTGTCAAAAAAAAAAAAAAAAAAAAAAAAAAAAGGATTAGCAAAGGCAGCAAATTATAGAAAACTCTTTTGCTTACTACTTCAAGCAAAAGAGTATCGACAAAAGATAGAATAGAGAAATAGATTCAGAAATGCTCTGAATTCTTTCATTCACAAGAATTTTATTTGTCATGCAAAAGTGATGGGGCCAGCATTATGGGTCAGTGGGATTAAGCCTCTGCATTTGATGTTAGCATCCCATATCAGCACTGGTTCAAGTCCAAAGTGCCCTGCTTCCAATCCAGTTCACTGCTAATGCACCTGGGAGCAGGGGAAGATGGTCCAAATATTTGGGCCCTTGTCACACAGGAGGGAGACCTGTGGGAGACCCAGAAGAAGCTCCTGACTCCTGACTTCAGCTGAGCCCAGTCCCAGTCATTGCAGCCATTTGGGGAGTGATCCAGTGGATGGAAGATCTCCCTCTCTCTCTGTCACTCTCACTCTCTCACTCTCTCTCCATCTTTCCCTCTCCCTCTCACTCTCCCTCTCCTTCCCTCTCTCTCTCTCTCTCTCCCTCTCTCTCTGTCACTCTTGCTTTCTCTCCACCTCTCCCTCTTGCTCTCCCTCTCCTTCCCTTCTCCCTCTCTCTTTCTAACTCTTTCAAATAAATAAATGAATTTTTAAAAATGTTGTTATAACTTCCTGCTGGAATGAATGTAGATACTCACATTATTGCCTTGTAATAATTTGTGACCAAAAAAAGCACCCAAGAGCTTGTTTCATATAACAGGAAAACATTCTGCAAGATTTTGTTTTAGAGATCATATATATAAATTATCTCCAAATTAAAAGTATTTGTGAATTATTGGAACATTACAACTAATTAAAATATACAAAATGCAATGATATAATGTATAAGCTAATTAACTTGGAGATATGCAAACTTTATTTTTTATTTTTTATTTATTTTTTGACAGGCAGAATGGACAGTGAGAGAGAGAGACAGAGAGAAAGGTCTTCCTTTGCCGTTGGTTCACCCTCCAATGGCCGCCGCAGCCGGCGCGCTGCGGCTGGCGCATCACGCTGATCCGAAGCCAGGAGCCAGGTGCTTCTCCTGGTCTCCCATGCGGGTGCAGGGCCCAAGCACTTGGGCCATTCTCCACTGCACTCCTGGGCCATAGCAGAGAGCTGGCCTGGAAGAGGGGCAACCGGGACAGACTCCAGTGCCCCGACCGGGACTAGAATCCCGGGTGCTGGTGCCGCAGGTGGAGGAATAACCTATTGAGCCGCGGCACCGGCGGAGATATATCTGCAAACTTAAAATTAATTTATCATAACTTACAATTCAATAAAATTGCAAAAAATCATTCTTCAAAGAAAATACCGTATTTCCATAAGGTTTAGAATTCAATAAGAGGAATTATTAAATTGTTTATTGTTGAATGGAGGCCTGAAAATGACAAATGGGCAGATTGTTCACATTGGATCCATATCACTGTTTCATTTATATGAGACTGTCACTTAAACTATTCATGCTAATATTTTTGTCAGAACGATTCTTATGATTGTCAGAGTAAACTTCAAACCACCATCTATCACTTTAATCTCTCCAAAAAAAGAAAAATAAAATTCAGAAATAATTCTTTAAAATTGCTTTGAGGAATGAGTTTCAGTAAGTATAATCATTGACCAAGTAGTAAGTAATTACATTTCCTATTGAAATGTAAATTTTGAGGTGACAAGACCTTCTCTATTCTTCCTTTTTCTGAACAAAAAAGAAGGAAGAAAATACATAATTAAATAAAATTGAATAGTAAGCAACATACACACACACATCAACAATTGAATGTGTATGTACACATTTGTAAAAGACTTTATATGTAGTGTGTGTATAAATCTTAACACTGATCAACACAATAAATAACCGTTATGTTTATAAAATGATAAATTGTGTAAAATAGGAGTTTTAGAAAGACTGCAAGAAATACAGTCCATCTTAATGATTTATTTGGGATTGTAGTAGCTAACTTCAAAATGACTCCCAGTGACCCACTCTCCTCCTTCTAGTCATGGCTGCTGTATCTCCCTCCCCTCGTATCACGAGCGTCTGTGTCACCAACATGATACGACAGAAGCTGAATTAGACACTGGAGATTCCATTTTGCTCCCTCTTTCTCCATGTTTCTCATCAGTGACTTTGGAGAAAGCCAGCTGCCATATTGCTCTTTAGAGAGGCCCAAGGTGGTGAGGAGCAAACAGTGATCCTCCAGCCAGATGAGCACTCGGAAGACTGCAGACCAGAGCAACAACTTTATTACAATTCAACGAGAGATGCAGAGCTAGAACCATGCAGATAAACCATTTCCACATTTCTGACCCACATGCGAGGTTAGATAATGAATGTTTGCTGTTTTAAGACGCTAACTTTCAGTGCATTTGTTTTGTATCAATAATTAATAAATGAATGTCAAGATATAACAACAAGGATGATAGATGTAAAGAAAGATTCAATTTGAGCTGGCGCTGAGGCTCACTAGGCTAATCCTCCACCTGTGGCGCTGGCACCCCGGGGCTCTAGTCCCGGTTGAGGTGTCAGATTCTGTCCCGGTTGCTCTTCTTCCAGTCCAGCTCTCTGCTGTGGCCCAGGAAGGCAGTGGAGGATGGCCCAAGTCCTTGGGCCCTGCACCTGCATGGGATACCAGGAGGAAGCACCTGGCTCCTGGCTCTGGATCGGCACAGCGCACCAGCCGTGGCGGCCATTTGGGGTGTGAACCAACGGAAAGGAAGACCTTTCTCTTTGTCTCTCTCACTGTCTAATGCTGCCTGTCAAAAAAAAAAAAAAAAAAAAAAAAAAAAAAAAAAAGATTCAATTTGTGTTATTTTAATATTAATAGTAATATTGTAAAATTTCTTTTCATTTATTTATTTTTTTAGTTTGAAAGACAAAGAGACCAAGAGGAGCAAGAGAGAAAGAGTGAGAGAGATCCCGTATCTCTCACCTGCTGGTTCACTCCCCAGATACCAATAGACTGAGATTGGGATAGAGCCAGAAACCACCCAGATTCCTCCTGGGAGGAATCTAATTCATAGCTAATTCATGGAGCCATCATTCCTGCCTCCTAGGTTCTACACTGACAGGAAACTCAGTCAGGAGCAGGAGCCAGGCATCCAACCAGGCACTCTTGAAATGTGATCTTAATCACTATGCTGAACACTGGTTCTGAAACTGATATATTTTATAACTCATGTATTTTCTCACATCTAATTTTGTCTGTTTATTCCCACATCAAACTTCTCAATATTAGATTCATAAATTTTTTTTGTTGGCCCAAGAGACCATTAATATTATTTAATTTTTTCTAGTCTAATAGTTTAGTGTTCATCTGGCATTAATGCATGATAGTCATTGCTTTTCTTCTTGTGTGAAAATGGAGATTTGTAAAATATGTCCAACTGGACTTTTGAGGAGATTCTACTCCTGGGAAGCAAGAAGTTATCTACACACATACAGATTCTGCTAGGAGTTTCCTTCCCATATCAAGTTCCACTATCTTCAATTCACTCATCAAACCAAAACAAAACAGAAAACCAGCCCACAGAATAACAAACACAAACAAGGATCAAAACGAACCATTTGGTATGATTTGTTTTTATACCTTCTGCCATACAGGAATCATTTAGACAGTGTAACTGAACATGATCATCTATTTTTTACTTCTACTATGTTATTACATTAAGTTTGCATTGTTGCATTTCTCTAAACATGCCACCTTCTGCAATACCTTTCGATTATATTTCTAGATGTGAGTAGTTAGTGAGCACATAACAGCAAAAGGTCAAATGGTACCTCTAAGCGAAAGGTCAGAAGTGACAAAGCTTTGAAAATAAGAAAATGTCCAAACAACAGAAAAATCAACCTGTGAGACAAGTGACCTTTTGCCAAATGA